TAATTTTGATATTTGAGATTCTGGAGGTCATATGAAGAAGATTTAAAAGTGTTTTCTCAAATACAAAACCGCTTCAGCCTCTCTCTAAGTATAGTATGTTCCTGAAATTTTTAATCAGTGAAAATAGATTCATGGTTCCAATTAGAAACTTGCTAAGCGTCATCAAAACACACTAAATCAACTTTCTTTGTGAAGATTTAAGACAAGAGAAGCATTTTATGGCGTTCTAAAAAAATGGTCAATTTGGACGCGTTTCCAGACTTCGGTTTCTTACCAGAGCGCATCTTTGCACCTGCGGTCCTGCTGCCCGGTGGCCGGAGTGCGAAGCCGACCCCTCGCCTCCCTCGTAGGATGGAGGGAAGCAAGGCGCACATGTGTTGCGCGTCTAAGCCCCTGGGGAACAGGACTGTGGGCGCAGACATATGAGCTCTGATAAGAAACTGAAACCTAGAAACTCGTCCAAATAAAGCGTTTTTACAGAATGCGTAAAATGCTACCCCTGCATTATATCCTTCTAGAAAGAGTTGATTTTGTGGTTTTCAATGACTCAGCAAGTTTCTAATTGAAACCATATTTTCATTTTCACTAATTAAAAAGTTAATTGACAAATTGTATTTAATTATCTGACTGATTGTTACGATTAGGTCCCTATACTATGTACACCTGGCCGTATAACTCGCCTGCACAAACCGCATTAATTTAGCTTTCACGACCTTTCTAAACATATGCGTAAAGCTTAAAACTAAATCGCCCTGTACAACAGTGACAAGGCGAAACCAGCATGGTGGAGCCATACGGCTCCACCATGCTGGTATCGCCTTTTCGCTGGTATAGGATGTCCCATATTACGTTATGCATGTATGGTTCCGTCCGCCTCCATGGTTCCGCCATAATCCACTACGCTGGTATAGGATGTTCCATAATACGACACGCTTGTATGGTTCCGCCTACCTGTATCATTCCGCCTTAATCCACTATACTGGAGCCGAGGTTTCGCTTGTATAGGATGTCCCATATTACGGTTACGCTTGTATGAGCCTTTTCCATCATCTTTCCATCGTCGAAATTTTCCAATAGGGATGTTTATGTCACCCACCATACAAAGCTTATCGGTAGGCACCATAGTTTGTAAACTCGCGCTTAGCTCATTTAAAAAGTTACGCACATTTTCTGATGGTGGTCTATAAACTGCCAGAAGGGATACTACGAAATTGTTTTTACATAACTTTAAAGTCAGACATTCTGCATGTTCGAGCGTAATGTCTATGGTACTTGCTGACCAGGTGTTTTTAACATAAACAGCTATTCCTCCTCCTCTAGATGAGTTGCGAGTCAGGAAAAAAGCCTCAAAACCAGGCAGAGAAAACTGACCTTGAGAAACGCCCACATCCCGAACATTTACTTCGGTTAGGACAAAAACGTCAACAACGGTGTCAGTTGCCCCAACAATGAGTTGAAATTCGTCCCAGTATTTCCTAATGCTTCTGATATTTACATGTAAAACCGTGAGCGAACTAGCACTAGGCGGAAATGAGTCAATAAACGTTGAGAAATCAGAGTTTAGTATAGTGCTATCCATTTCTATACTATTTTTCCCAAGTCCCTAGTGCTAGAGATACGCACTGGCGATGAGTTCTCGTCCTTTTTCGCAAAAATGGCGGAGTTCTTAACCCACACAAACTTATACGATTTTTCCCTTTCCTTGTTCCGCGCTTGCCAGAAGAGGTCCTTATTTGTCTGAGTCAAATTTTCATGAAAGTATATCCTCTGCTGGTTTTCAGACCGAGAAAGGGTGGCCAACTTTTTGCGAGCATTCATCCAGTGTTCCTTTACCGACACTGAGGTGAACTGCACCAAAATGGGGGCAGCCCCCTCACGCCTAGAGCGTAAGCGGTGGCAAGCTACTACTCTATCGGGGGTATGGGTCGCGAGCCCCAGTTTCACCGCAAGGTCGGCCATAGTCACACTCAGGTCTTCGCCGTTCGCGCAAGGAATACCGTGTATTTTCATGTTACACCTTCTGCTATATTGCTCGGATGAGTTTACGTTCGCCTGTAACTGCTCTATCATTGCCGTTTGATCTGTCACCGTTGTTTGGAGTGCTTCAACCTCGGAACGGAGCAACTTCACCTTTTTATCGTTTGCAGTAACCAGCTGCATCATTGATTCACATTTTCCGACTGATTCCTGTAGTCCCTTAATTGTTTCCTTCATTGCATCAACTGATGGTCTCAAAGAAAGCAGGTCATCCACTTTGGCTGGAAGCTCACACAGCCGGTCAACGTTAGCCTTCAGGGAGTGGAGCAACTCAAGTTTTACGTTTATTTGTGCCAGTTGAACCCGGTCCCACAAGCCAATAGCGGCTTGTGGGACCGGGTTCAGTCCCACAAGCCGCTATTGGAGACTTCGATAATTGGCAGATTCACCAAAAAACACACTCGCGAAATTTTTGAAGCTTTTAGTATACTCCGCTTAGGCGAGCGTTGTTTCAGCCATCCTTCTATGGCTTTAACCGACAAGGAAATAGCCTTTCTACAGTCGTTTGAGTGTGGTTGATGGTGTGTTTCCTCCGCGTGCTCGGGTGCCCCCGTGTGAGTGTGGCCTCGGCTCGAGCTGAGACCGAGGGCTGTTCTTTTTTCTTCCTTCAATAAATCGAGTTGTGAGTTTGCGCTTGTCTCTTATCCCTTCCCTTTTCTCTGTTCATTTCTATTTGTGCGCAATTTTAACCATGTTCAATCATTACCAACTCGCCCAACTTTACTACTGCTCAAATTGCTTGTCCTTTTTCGCTTTTTTCACCGGCACATTGCACAAAAAAAAAGTAATACGCACTACTGCCATGCCTTATAAATGCTTTCACATTACATTTTCTACTAGAAAAGTAGCTGCGAGTCTCTTACACAAATGGAGACATTTAAATAAATTCGTTCAATTCAGCCGTAATCTCAGGGGTCGAAAGTTCCGAGGACTGCTCTGCCTCTTTTTTAGGGTTTACTATGGTTGTAGCCGCTAAGGAGCAGTTTTCTTAGTATTTTTTTTTTATTATACCTGTCTTTGGTTTGACGTCCTGTACTATAGCTTCCCTTGCCAAACTGATTTCTTTTAATTGTCTACGTTTAGGACAAGACAATCTGTATTTCAGATACCATTCAACTTTTCGTATATTTATTTTCCAGCAAAATATTCGATAATGAAATGATTGCAATCTACGGAGAGGCGTCGGCGAGTGGTGAGGCCTATTATACATTAATACCGAATTCTAAAATCTGCGATGCGAAAGCATGCAAGCGTGACTTCAGTACGTGCAACATCGTGCAGTGTCACATTGCAAATTTCGATTTTACTTAAACCATACATCGTCGGTCTCTTCGTTCGCGGAGCTCACTTCGTTCATCACGATAACTTGCTCTTCGAATCCACTGCGGAAAAATAGGCGCACAGAAAGTTTTAAGAGTGCATGCCCTACAGCTAGGAAACACTAAAGTCACTGAATCTGGGGAAGTAGCGCTATCGCCTTTCTACCTGCTAGCCTGACACAAACAAATACCAACATACACATGGCAAGGTGATTGGCCCATCGCTCTTGGTTGCCATGGTCATCGCCATTTTGGACCCTTTCAAAGCTTCGAAAGGGTCGGTAAAACCAGTCGCCCCAGGATCGCTATAGAAAATCATACTGCAGCGTTCCTCGGCCAATATGAGCGTCTTTGGAACTGTGCATGCAATAAACCTATCACTCATGTTTTTTTTTCTCCAAAGATCTCTTGCAATTATGTTTCTCTTCTTGCATGTTTCAAAAAAGTAAAATTATTTGCCAATGCATCCCAGCAGTGACGTTGCGTGTGATGACGGTACGAATATGTACAGCATCACACGTGGCGTCGGTGCTTTGGGGCATTGAAAACTAATTTTAATGTCTTGAAACACGCAACAAGAGCAACATAATTGTAAGAGATCTGGGGGAATAAGCATGAGTGATAAGTTTATTGCATGCACAGTGCCAAAGACGCTCATATTGGCCAAGGAACGCTTTCAGTATGATGATGCTCTATAGCGATATTGGTGCGACTGGTTTTAATGACTTTTTCCAAGTTTCGAAGCTTTAAAAGGATCCCAAATGGCAATCACGATGGCAACCAACATGGCTGAGCCAATCACCTTGAAGGATTTTGCCGTCATTATGTTCGTATTTTTTTGTGTCCGGCTAGCAGGTGGGAAAGCAATGGCACAACTTTCCCAAATCCAGTGACTTTAGGAAACACAACAGTCAAATAAAGACAGTACCCGAGCAGACACCGTTGTTCAACCAACATCGGCCCAGGACTGGCAAACATTGGCTTCAATACTGGCCTAACGTTGGATTTGTAGAACTTGCAACCCGATCCAGTGATGAACCATTCACTAAAGCCAATGTGGACCACGATTCAACCGCTCTCTTAGCCACCAATGATCCATCATTCATTCCGTCAATGAGCCGCCATTTAACCAACATTTAAGTCTACTTTGGGTCATTTCAGCCAATACCTAAGCCATCATTGGCACACCGACACCGTTGGTTCGGGGTTGTAATACCATCATTGGCTTATCCAATATTTGCTCCCAACCTACTCGTTACTTCAATTTTGGCATCCCACCTTAACCACGGTCGGGACTGTTTTCTGAGGCCATTTGTAGCTGGCATGCTACCGAACAAAAAAAAATATTCGAAATGAAAACTAGATGTAGACAAGCCACATTTACATTTTTTTCCTATATGCTTCATAACATTTTTGTGATGTAAACATTTTGCAACGTTTTGAAAATGTTTATTGTATATCAAAAAGTACATTGAAATATAAAAGGAGGCAATCCAAATTGACAATGTAGAGTTTTTGCACGACCAGTACATGCAATTAAAAATTTCGATTGATAAAAAAATAGAAATGATTCAATGCGTTGAATTCGCTGCCATCGCTGGAGACATCGACATTTTATCTTTCAAATTGTTTTATTAAATAATACGCATATTTGACCGAGCATAGGTTCCTCTTGCATGATTTTAGAGAGGCTTCATTCGGGCTTGGTTTAGTCCTTTGCTGTGGAGCAAAAACAGATTATGCAATATTAGAATTTCTAGGAACATCAAACTACACACTAGTTTCCTAATGAGATATTTTTCAGTTGAACTGTCTGTGATTCGTCACATTCTAATTTAGTTACTTTAGTAAATTCCTGCAGCGTTGGATGTGATTTGTGACACATTACGAGTCACGAATTAACAAGAACAGGGGTCTTGAAACGTTTTGGCTGAGGGGTAAGATTGGGGACTTGTGGCAGTGTCGAGGGTCGGAATATAAATAAGTAAATATAAATAAGAATATACAAAATAAATAAACCTAAATAAGCATTGAGGTACAGAAACTTAAACTAAAGCAACAATTTCATAATATGAAAGTATATGATTTATTTAAATGCGATGCTAATTATTACATCAAAAACTGTTTTTTCCCACGAAACTCACCAGGAATGTACCAAAGCGCATACAAACTTTGGCATATGCACAGATGGTAGAAGACTAATGATAATAGGAGATCGGTAACAATATACAATAGTTATGACATATGATAGTAAGCACGGTATGCAAGAAAACTCTAAGAAGTCTTAACATTGTTACACAGACATGAAACAGGGGACAACGAATACGAATCCTCCTGCTGACAATGTAGAATAAATAACATTGAGATAGACCCCACGTTTTAGTGTACTGTTCTCTCGTTCTTTCTGCTGTCTTCGTATGCACTTTTGGTGCGTATCGCAGTGCCTTTTTCTTTTTTTTTTTTTCTTTTTGTCATGTGGTTATTTTTGCATTTCTAGCTTCTGGCCGCACACCGAGCGTCAATGGAATGACCGCGGCCATCCGGGGGCCGGCCAGAACCCATCGCCGGGCCGGATTCGGCCCGTAGACTGGGGTTTAGAGACTCCTGAACAAAAATAAGTCAAGATTTCATGTGGAAAAATGTGTGTAAAAATAAAATAAATGATTACGCCAGTCATACCTCTTCAAAAACGCTACGTCATGGCGGTGGTGATTTCAGTCTCAAAGGAGTATAGAGCGTCGGCGATCAACTGTCCCGATGCCGCGTGCTATATGGAGCGCAATTTTGTCTGCTTCTTTTGCAGGTGTTGTGGTGACTTTGAAAGAACGCCGAGCTCTGATTGGCTCTGATGGAAGGATAGTGGGTAGACCTCAAAGCGAGCTGCCTTGATGTTGAACCACAATCCTGCAATCAGAGCCAACAGGAGCTCGGCGTTATGACATCAACACAACCCCTGTCAAAGAAGCAGCCACCCCCCCCCCCCCCCCCCTCCCCGAACTTGCGCTCCGCATACTCCGTTTCACTTCAAATCCGATAACAGCCGACGCCACGGCCCGATGGAGCCAGTCAAGTGTCACCGAAAGTGCATCGTTACTTCGGTCATCACCATTGTGCGTTTCCATTACCAGCAAAATTATTCCAAATTAATCACGCATAGGGAATGCACTGCGATCCCCGCTTTTTTTCCACGCATGACTTGTTTACCCTTGATGCCAAACAAACAAAAAACAAAAAACAAAAAAAAACTTGCGCTGTGTCGATGCACAATTGGCGCTGCTTGATTGGTTCTATTGAACCGTGTACCGTCGGCTACGGTTGGAAGTACTACAGTCAAACTATGGAACGGTTGAAATACCGAGGCTCGATCTAAAATGGGCCGTAAAAACTGGCGCCTGCACATAGCAATCTAAACTTTTGTTCAAAGGTGCATTTCACAGGTCGGTTTTATCATGGCAAATTACGAAGCGTAGCTCCTTTTCTGTAAAAAATATGGGGTCAAAAAGCTTGCCAGGTTAAACGGCGGACGGTGACGCAGAGAACCGAGTCGAGTGGCGGGCAAGCTGTCGAACGGGAACCGAACCGAACCGAAAACCGCAACAGAACCGTTATTTTTAGCCGAACCGGAACTGAACCGAACCAAAATCTTCGCCGCCATCTTGGAATTGAACCGGAACCGAACCAAAAAAAATATAACGGTAACCGGTTCAAAATGGTTCAACGTAATTTTTTTGTTTTTTTGTGAGTATCACAAAATGAACATATGGGAATAAAAAATGGGCGGCTGTATTTCTATTCATCAAATTGTCCTATACAGAATTACAACGTATGGTAAATTGTGGGTTTTCGTGCCTCTTTTGTATTGGCACTATGATTAACCACGTGTCACATTGTCACGTGACGTCATGGTGTCAATACATGTCAAGTAATGTCACGTGACCTCGTGACATCACGTGACTCACTGCGTCAACTCGATTTAATTTGAGGAAGCCACTGGATGTATTAGCCTTGTTGACAGCGTGATTAACATGACATCACGATTTTGCACCGAGTCACGTGACATCCTGACATAAGCGATTTTCATAACACCTAGTCGAGTGCACGGGTTCTTGACACTCAGCATCGTCAAACATTCGGGTAACGGCTCATGTCAATTAAATAGGATAATAGCCTACTCTAAAAATATCTGAAGCTCAGCCCAAGCTTTTGCTTTCCGAGCCCTAGCCGCCTAGGGCATGACTATGATGAACACTGACGGTATATAATTAGCCTCAGATCACGCGGCCGCTTCTTCAAATTGCGAGTTGAGGAGGAGATCGACAGCTGTCTCTTTCCTTCATTTTTCCTGCATCTGCTATTCCGCGAAGGGGAAAACTAATGCATATTTTCGCAAGCTATAAACGTCAGGGGTTACTTCTTAGCAGTATTTGTTGAAGTACAAAAAATGTTGCACGTCCAATTTTACATCACTGAGGCACCCAAATACTTTTTTTGTTCCTGCTTAACTGCATCCGAAAGATGTCCGCGAGAATAGAAGTATTGAAATGACTAAATGCGACTTATTAATATCACGTTTAACTACATGTGTGTACGGAAGGAATACATAAAAAACAAAAGATTTTAGTGACCTCAGAGGGACAGCCGAACTATGGCAGTCGCTGTAAGTCTCACACGAGCGTCGTTCTCAAGTTATTGCCCAAATTTCGACACCCTCTGTATTTTGCTTAAAGAAGCTATAAAAAGATTTCTATACATCACTAAATTCTACTCAGGATCACCCCCTAACGTTAATAACTGATTGAACTTGGCTTTGCTCTTTTTTCTAGTCAATGGCAGTCGCCAAAAAGTTAGAGAAATATGAGCATCGTTCATTCCCTCAACTCGGAGTCAGAAGCGGCCACGTGGCCTGGTGCCTATGCTATGCCGCCAACGTTAATCATACCCCCGCGCTGGGGTTGGAAAAAAAGAAAACGCGTGCTGGGAGCTTTAGCCGAACTCTAACAATGCCTGGAGCAGGCATTGTTAGAGTTCGGCTAAAACGTTCGGTTGGAGCCGGCAGGGATCCCAGCATGAGTTCACCGTGCTTTTTTCGCATGCAGGCGACAGTCCTGTCGGCACTCTGCTTTATCAGTAGCGACGGCTTTGGCGGGAGTGGCCCATCAACGATCGCATCAAGCAGGTGGATTTCCACTGACTTCACAGCGAATGCGACCATGACATCGACGGCTCTGCATCGGGGGGCGTTCTTCAGTGTTCCCGTGGCTGCCACCCCTACTGCAACAAATGGACTATCCCAGCGGCTTTATAAGACCGACGCCACCACTTCTTCGGGAATTGGAGCCGGCAGAGATCCCAGCATGAGTTCACCGTGCTTTTTTTCGCATGCAGGTTGGTACTGTTTACTCTGGATATTATCCTAGAGTTTGTTTTTACCTACCGGCTCCACCCAAAGACGTTTTCCTAATGACGTATACACGTTATAAGCATCATTGCTTTTATGTGCACCGTAGGTTTTGGAGAAAATTGGTATTTTTAGTATTGTTGTTATTACTGGCGGGTGATGTCGAGTTGAATCCAGGCCCCCCTACGAAGGCTGAACAGATGGCAAATATGGAATCCATGCTTATGAGCCTAACTGCTAGCATGAACAGGGTTACGACACAACTTTCCAGTATTCAAAGTAAGCAAGAAGAATTTGAAAAGAAACTGGACACCTTGATTAAGTACAATGACCAGTTAGAAAAACGTGTTGATGGTTTTGAGGGATTGACCAAAAATCTACAAGCACAGATTGATGCTCTTGAAAACCGCAGTCGAAGGTGCAATCTGGTGTTTTACGGCATAGATGATGCGAAGAGCAATGAGACATGGGAAGAATCGAAGAACCATGTGCTACAACTCTGTAGTGATAAAATGGGCATCAACCCCATTTCGATTCAAAGGGCACATCGGATTAGGCAATATAGAGCGAATGGGAAAAGGCCAATTATTGTAAACTTTGTGTCGTGGAATGAAAAAGAAAGCCTATAACGTGCGGGGTTCAAATTTAAAAATACCAACTACAGTGTCTCAGAGGATTTTAGCAAAACACTTCGCGATAAAAGACGTATGTTATGGGATGTTTCAAAAGAAATAAGGTTAAACAAGGCTAACAAAGTCTTTTTGTCGTACGATAAGCTGATCGTGAATGGAGAAGCGTATATCTAGGATACTGAACAAAAGAAGGCGGTCCTCGTGCATGGTAATAGACATGTAAGAACACAAGAATGACATAGACCTTTCGCTCATACAACTTCTGATAATGTATCCATATCTTCAAATGCCCGCCCGACGGTTCCGTTGATAAACTGCCGCAGTCATAAAAATAAAGTAGAGGAGTTTTCTGTTTAGTAGAGGCAATAGAGCCATGCGTAGTCATGGGCACTGAGTCGTGGCTCGATGACTCAGTGCTTAATAGCGAAGTGTTTCCTAAGGGCTTTGCAGTCTATCGTAATGACCGCTACGCGCATGGTGGTGGGGTGTTTTTATTGATAGACTCACGGTGGGCAAGCAGTGAGCTTCAAGTGCCGCCAAATGATACTGAATCTGTTTGGTGCCGAGTACACTTGCCCAAAGGAGGCACCCTTGTATTAGGCGCTTACTATCGTCCCCCAACAATAAATATATCGATGAACTTGGTCAAATACTGTCCACTATCTCTGATAGTTCTATTATTGTAGGAG